ATACTGTTATGGATTAAATTATGTCCCCCCAAAATGTGTGTTGGAATCCTAATCCATTTGGGAATAGAGTTTTCTTTGTTATGTTAATGAGACCATCATCAGTGTAGGGTGTGTTTTAAACCAATCACCTCTGAGATATGAAAAGAATAGATTAGGCACAGAAGCAAGGAAGCATAGATGGGGAAAGGTAGATATCACTTCACATGAAGATTGCCAAGGGACAGAGGAACAGAAGCTGAAAAGAGACAAGGACCTCTCCTCCCAGACCCTACCAGAGCCAACAGAGACAGAATGCCTTACCCTAGAGCCAATGCCCTGAATTTGGACTTCTGGCCTCCTAAACTGTGAGAAAATAAATTCCTGTTTATTAAAGCCACCCACTTGTGGTATTTCTGTTATAGCAGCACTAGGTAACTAAGACAGAAACAAGTTTTCAAATTGTTTTGAAATTTCCTTTGAAGCCTAATATAGGGTCATTACATTGTAAATCTTTTATATGTGTTAGAAAAAAATATGTATTCTTATTTGTGTACAAACTTCTTTATGACTCTAATTGTTAAAAATGGAGGCCTAGGCCCTGTAGGCAGAATAAGGAAAAAGAGATAGCCTTCCCCAGTTAGCACTAGAATTCAATCACAGTGGGGGCCTCCATGTAAGATACCTGTGGGGGCGCCCCTCAGCATGTCCACCCTACAATCCAGTGTTGCTGGAATCTGCATAGGATATATAAGAGGCTGCTCAATTCATATGATTTTATAATTAAGACCAGGTGACATAAATATAAAACTTTTTTTATAAATAAACTTTCTTCCAGCTTGATGGAGGCTGGACTCTTTTCGCCAGTGGTGGGTAGGCAATGCCAACACTCACTAGTTCAATATTATTATTGATGTGGAAGGTGGTTTGAAGGCATAGGTGAATAATGTCTGCTAGGTAAGTTCTATGAAAGTCAATGGAAGTTTAAGCACAAATCTTAATATTGAAGTCCTAATTAATGATATGACATAGGACTGGAACTAGAATGAGGTGAGTGAGGCATTTGCCTTAGGTGCAAAATTAAAAAAGGCACAAAAAAACCTCAGGAATTAAGATTTATAATTTTTGATGTAGTGTTTTTAAAAATCAAAATTAATGCAAAAAATTTTGTTTTTTAAAAATAGAAACAGGATCTGACCCTGTGCTTGTATGACTCACCTCACTCACCTTACCCTAGCTGTGGTTCTGTATGAAACCTGGGGCTACAGGAAGGCCAGTGGTGAGGTGATGCTAGAAGAGGCAGGCAATACAGGGTCAAGAGTAAAAGCTTGGGGTCATAAATTATATAATTCCAGGCCTGAATTCTGACTGTATGACCTTAGATAAGTTACTTAACCTGCTAATTTTCAGTTTCTTCATCTGTAATAGGCAGCTAATAATACCTATCTTATTGTTTGTGTAATGATTAAACAAGATAATGCAAGCAAAGTGCTTATACCTGACCCATAGAGGCAGATCCAGGTTCTGTGGAGCCTGAAGCTTACATAATCTGGGAGCCCTGTTGAAGAAAAAGAATAAAATTAAGGAATACAAAATTGGCATGAAAGTGGAATGAGAAGATAAATCTTAAATAGCAAATTTCTTAAAGCACAAAAATTCAGAAAAAGAAAATATATTTATTAATTAGTTACCTTACACATCACTGTAATACCTTTTTCCATATACGTTTTTGACTACATCCTCTTTAATCACCTTTTCATATGACAATTTTGTAATACTTTCTATAGAGAGAATAGAAAAGATAATCGTCTTTTCTCCGGCATGGTTGATTGAAATTTGTTTTATGTCATTAATAGTTTAGAAAAATGTCTTCAAGCTTCACAAGTCATTATTGTAAAGTCATGTCAATTTTTATCATTGTTCTTAAATTTGGGAAAACTTCCATCAAGTGTTTTTCATATATAAGCTGTAAGACTGGGAAGAATATTCCACAGACTAGCTTCTAGGTCCGTTCCTTTCAAACATCATTTCTTTTCCACTAGCCCCTTACTTCTGGTAACCTGGCAGTGTAGGACTCGTTCATATTGCAATACAATCTCTGGCCTTGCACCTTTGTGTCACAACACCAGGTAAGTTGGCCCAGCAGATGATAAGGGAAGTCCTGGGAACCATTCCGACATGGGCATGGCTAGCAATAACTTAATGGCACGTGGAAATAACTGTGAGCCGCACAAAAATATCGCACGAAACCCAGACTAAATGTATCTCCAACTCAACTTATTCTCTATTGGATCTCTGAAATGTCCATGGCTACCCTGCCATGTAAGGAGCTCTGGTGGCACAACAGTTACGCACTTGGCTGCTAGCCAAAAGGTTGGAGGTTCAAACCCAGCCAACGGCTCTGAGGGAGAAAGAACTGTTGATCTGCTCCTGTAAAAAGTACAGCCTAGAAAGCCCTATGGGGCAGTTCTACTCTGTCACATGAGGTTGCTGTGAGTTGAAATCAACTCCATAGCACCTATCGACAATAACTCTGCCATGTGGATGTGTGACAGAGAGGTGGCTGGAGTGAAAAGAGACAGTGGTCTTAACTGATTTCAGTTACAATACCTCACTTTTAGAAATACTGCAAAAAAACATACGACCAAGTGAATACTTTGCTAGGGACCCACTCTGTGCCTTGGAAGAGGCTTGTGCAAATGAAGAAGCTTCGACAGTGTCACAGTAAATCAACTTTTTTGACTCATAGTAAGTTCTGAATAAATGCTATTATTTTACCCCAAACCTTCCCGCAGCACTTAGTACCTGTCTGTATTGTAGCACATTTCTCATTGTATTTATTTAGGCTCATGTCTGGCTCTCTAGCTAGATTATAGATGCAACGGCAGTTGCTTTGGCTTTCTTCTTTGTATCAGAAGTGCCAAGCGCAATATCTGCTTTAAATTAAAGATTCAGTTAACAATGAATAAAGTATGCTAGTGGAAAGGAAGAGATCTAGCAGGATTAAATTAAAACAGATGCGGCTGGGGAGAAATCAGGAATTGTGGATACGCAGACTGGAAGGATAACAATATGCAGAAACAGGAAGTGCTTGTGTGAAGTGCCTGAGGCAAAGGAACAGAGCTAGACCTCAGACTAATGAGAAATGCAAAATGGAATACAGGAAGAGCTTTTAAAACAACCAGTGTGATTCCATTTATATAAGATGCCCAGAAAAGACAAATCTATGGAGACAAAACGTAGATTAGTAGTTGTCAGGGGATAGGGATGGGAAAGGGGAGTGACTGCTAATGGGGCAGAGGAATCTTTTTGGGGTGATGGGAATGTTCTAAAACTGGATTGTAGTGATGGTTGCATAACCGTAAATTTACTAAAAATCACTTGATTGTACACTTAAATTGAGTGAATCTTATGGTATGTATATTATACCTCAAGAAAGCTGTTTAAAAAAAACAATTTTTAAAAAGTGAGATCAGAGCTTCAAACGTGAAAAAGCTGTAACGTGTAAGTAGTTTTTATGAACTAGCTCACCTTGACTATCTGTTTCATCTCACCAAGATGTCCACCCATTGTGGTGAAGTTTGTTGTGCACCAAAAAGATCCGTGTGTGCCGCAGTGTGGACAGGGCATCCTTCTCCACTGTAGTGTCCAGAGGTCTCCTGCAGCAGTTTGCTCACCTGGCCTTTGCTGCCATATTCTGCGCTCCAAAATCCGCATTTCCTCCTCCTCCTCTCCATTTCCCTCCCTCCAAATAAAGCTCTTTTCTTCTCTTGAAGCACTAATAGAAGAAAAAGGACTCAGGTAAAGTAATTTACCTTTGGAGTTAATGTGTCACAGGGCGATTATATTTTGATGTAGATGCTAGGTAACACATATGAATCAGTCTTTCATGGTGATACTAAAGTTTTTGCTATCATAGAAACTTCCAGTTCTTTTTTTCAACAAAGAAATATCACCATCAGGAGAGATTTGCCACTTATTGTATTGTTTGCCAACTTTGACCCCTTAACTCAAGCTTCTAAATTAGGGTGGCCAGATTTAAGAAAAACAAAACAAACGAAACCCAGAGTGCCCAGTTAAATTTTAATTTCAGGTAAATAAAGAACAATTTTTTAGTACACCCCAAGTATTTATTATTTTTAAAGGATAAGTGTGTCCCATGCAATATCTGGGAAATACTCGAAGCACAATGAGGTCATCATGAGTCAAAATCGACTCGACGGCAAAACACTAAAAAATTATTCGTTGTTTAACTGGAATTTAAACTTAACGGGGCCCACTGTTTATATCTGGCAACTCTAAGGTAACTGTTTGAAAGCTTGGGTTAGGTTGCTCCTAAGTGGTTTTTGTTTGTTTTAATAAAAAAGTCTCCAAAGCAAAGCATTAGCTTTGCCAGTTGTTGGGAAAACTACATTCTGTTGCTCTTCGAATTCGAAACGTGCTTCAGGAGAGAAGTCAGTTCTGCTGTGGGAGAGATTTTCCCCCTGAGCTCGGGTATGGGACACGGTCTAGTGAACAAACCTGCCCCGGCGGAGGTAGGCTGCCGGTGTGATTCACTCAGCGCTCACCGAGAGCCGAGGGCCGCGGCTCCCATCCACAACACAAGCCTGCTGGCCAATTAAGGGGTGGACCGTAGAGGAGACCACTTGCCGAGACCCTGCCTCTCTCCAAATCCCTCACGCTCTTTTCCCCTCAGACCGCCCGCCGCCCCCGTGGGGAGGGCGTGGAGAAGACTGATCTCAGAGCACGAAGTGTTCGAAATAAACAGCGAGTTTTGAAATCACAGCTCCCATAGTGTGACTCGCCCAGCACTCGTTCGTTCATGCCTGGAAGGGCTTCTGAGAAGAGTCGAGGCCGAGCATTCGCGCTGGCCCTCGAAACCTAAGAAGGGAGAGGATCCTTCTCGCGCGCGCTCTTGCTCTTTTTTTCTTTTTTGTCGGAGGAAAGAAAACAGCCTTGCGCTCGTGTGTGTACGAAGTCGAGAAGTGGAGACAGGGACACACCCTCCCTTTAACCCGCCCCCAGCCCGCGCCGCGCCGCTCGGGTAGGCAGGCAGGCGGGAGGCGGGGGCCGGGCGTCTCGACGCGGGTCGGGCTGCGCCCGCAGCAAACGCCGGGCTCTGGGCTGGCTGCCGCCAGCAAGGTGCCCGGCCGTGCGGAGAGAATGTCCCGGTAACTCCTGCGGGAGTCCCACGCCCCAGGGAAGATGATGCTTCTGCGGAGGGGTCCCAGGCCGTGGCGTCCGCGGCTACTGCCGACTCCGGATACCCGGGGTCGCGCGTACCCGCGGTCGCTGACGCCCCAGGTAAGGAAAAGCCCGTTTTAGGGTGCGAGGGTCTCGGGGCGCCCCGGGAGAGGCGGGAGGAAAAGTTTGCGTCGGGCAACTTTGGCGAAAATGAAAGCCTCCGCGGAGTGCCGGGAGCGGCGGGAAGTCCCCTGCGATGTTCTGCCCCTCGGGCTCCGCACGGGAGAGACCCGACAGGTGGTCGCCGGGCCGCAGACGCGGGTCCCGGAGTCCAGGCCGAAGTCGCGCCCCGGGGCCGAGGGAAGGAAAGGCCAGAGCGTCCCTCGCTGCAGCGGCGGGGCTTGAGGGGCCTCGGGGGCATCACCGCGGCCAAGCTAGGGTGCGGGGTCCGCGGGGCTGCGGCCCAGGGAAGCGGCAAAATAACCCCGGAAGGCGTTTTCTCCGCACCAAACCGCAACCTGGAGTAAGTTCCAGAGCCGCGTTGCTGTCGGCTCGTGGCCCCTCGGCCTTCCGTCGTCGCTGCCGAAGCGACTGAGGGAGAGTAAGAAACGTGGGCAGCGAGCAGTGCGTGCGAATGAGCCTAGTGTGGATTGTTGTAGGAGAGTGAAAGGCCCAGCCTCAAACCCGCGAGCACCTCCCTTCTGAAGAGGGAAGAAAAACTCGCGTTACGTTCAGAGACTCGAGAGCCGAGTGAATCATGAGCGTGTGCTGGCGAGTAACACTTGGCCTGACTCAGTTGTATTGTGGTCTGTGTGGAACCGTTCTTGGAGGAGGAGGGAGGAGAATAGATGTGGACTAAAAACGAGAAGAGAAGGAAAAAGTGCTGCGTGTACTAGGATTGTGATGGAGCCTGACAGGAGCCCAGGAACCCTGACTCTGAGCCTGATGAGGACAGCCTTTTAAGAAAAGCCATCAGGGTGTGTGTGTTGGAGAGAGAGTTGTTTCTGAGTTTTAGTTTCTTCCCCCCCTTCTCCCCAACTATTACATTACTTTTAGATTGTTAGAGAAAATTTATTTTATTTTATTACTTATCTTTTAGGGGTACAATTGCAAAAAAAAAAAAAAAGTCACATTGGAAAGTAACTAGTGTGATTATCTTGTACCTTTTCACTTCCTTTTTCTTTTCTCCCCCTACAACGATGTCAGTGTTTCCAAGTTTAGACTGATGCAGAAAATATTTAATTACATTTTAAAGTGCCTTCCTTGAATGTTTGGAAGAGAATAAGGGAGACCATTTTGTTAGTAGTACCTAGGAAGAAAGGCAGACTCCTTAAGATGTAATATGGTACACTTGATAAAGTAGTTGGGGAGATAGGCTTTTTCCAGTCTTTAAAATTGTACTTTATTTATTTTGTGTTACACTTTACAGTCAGAGATTTACAAAACATTAAAACAACCCAATACAAGGAACCCCCTGCATCACACACCATTTAAATGCAAATGATTGATTCCATTTTCTATTAAATCCATTTAATGTTTATAGGAGTAGAATTTTCATGAATCCCAGGACTGACTGTCCTTTCTCAAAGAATCAACTCCAAGCCCTTTTCTCTTTTCCCATCTGGTGCTTTATAGGGTGGTGCCATTGCTTGCCCCAGCAGGAATCTGGCTGCCCTTTTAAAAGAAGTGGAAAATGATTCAGTGGGGCTTATTAGGTCTAATAACAGGGAAACAGTCAGTGGTTCTTTGCTTCTAGGTAGTTGTCCTAAGCTTTACATTTGACTATTTCTGATTTGTAACCTTTTAAGTCTTGACTGTCCATGCTGTAAAATCCATTTGTTGAACTTTAGAAGTGAAAATGCTTCCATTGCCTTCCTTATCAAGAACCAAAGGAATGACAGACTTGTAAAAGACTTCCTCACCCACCAAATAATAAAAGCAAGCCTGTGAGTTTGCCTCTTTGTGTCTTTGAAATATTACCATAAAGAAACGGATAGAAATGTCCTGGCCCCTTAGTAGTTTTAGCTAGAACTACTGCACATTTTCTGCATATCAGATTACCTGGCCGTAGAGACATTTTTTATTTTAAGTTCTCATTGTTTGATGGTTGCCTCACTTGATATGAAAAGTCCCGTGGCTAAAGACAAGTATTATTTCTATATATCTTTACCATATTCAGACCCCTAGGCCCTGTGAAAGCAGGTAGGGAAAAAAAAGTGGTGTTTGCAGCCTGACAGTTCATAAAAACCTAGCTTGCGAGGACTTGTCATGAGTACTATCTCAAGGAAGTGTCCCCAGTTACATCTGACCTTTTCTGAAATTATGAGTGTGCCTTATAGAAACATTTGGAGTCCCTGGGTGGTGCAAATGATTAAGCCCTCTGCAGCTAACCGAAAGGATGGTGATTTGAATCCACCCAGAGGTGCCTTGGAAAAAGACCTGTCGATCTACTTCTGAAACACTGGCCACTGAAAACCCTACAGTGCACAGTTCTTCTTTCAAACACATGGGGTTGCCATGATTCAGAATTGATGGCAACTGGTTTGGCTTTTGGTTTATAGGAGCATTTAGTAACTTTGAAAAATACACAGTTCTCAAACTTCATATGGTAGGTTAGTAATTGTCTGCCAGTGTTTTGTGGGTGAGAGAAAAAAAAATTTATTGACCTGGATATGGTTAGTGTAGTAGAATTGCTTTTTAAAGAACACATTTAGTCTGAAGCGTACAAGAGCAAGAGTGTATTGTATTGCTGTTGGCCAAGGCATGGCCTGGAGTCTGTGATCAGGTTCTGGTGGCAGCATCTCTGCTTGTCAGCACTCTGGCTGAGTGGCTGTCAGGGCAATCCGTGGCTCCTGCTGGCGTTTCTGTGTGCTAGGATGCAGCTTGGAGTGATTATGGTGCTTGGTGAACTATCTTTAAACAGAAAGCCCTTGCCTAATTGTGCCTTTCTTAATTTGGGTTTTCTGCTGCTTAGACTCCCTGATGTGAGTTTATGCCCCTCATACAGCATTTGAGCCCCCTATAAGCTGTATTTAAATTTAAAAAAATCAAATGAGCTTTCTAGGGAGACTTAAGTATCAAGCATATTTTTTTAGACGTCTGGAAATAAAGCGTATGAATGTTTTAGTCCCACCATAGTATGGTCATTTAGAAATTGTTGTTTTAATTTTTTGAGTTTAAAAAACATACTTGACACTTTCCTACCGTTTTATTCTTGTATTTGTAATTGGCGTTATGTTCTACAATACTGGTTTCAGAACTCTCTCCTGAGCAGAGAGCAATTTGTTGTATGTTGGTGATTATACTTACGCTATAGAAAAGACATTGGTGTTTTGGTCTCAAAGTAATTCTAGACCAGTTTGTCTATTAAATATTAAACATTACCACCTTTCACATGTGATCAAGAGATGATGGTATTGAAGGAAGAAGTCCAGGCTGCACTGAAGGCGTTGGCGGAAAACAAGCCTCCAGGAATTGACAGAATACCAGTTGAGATGTTTCAGCAAACGGACACAAGGCTGGAAGTGCTCACTCATGTATGTCAGGAAATTTGGAAGATAGCTATCTAGCCAGCTGACTGGAAGAGACACATATGTGTGTCCATTCCAAATAAAGGTGATCCAACAGAATGTGGAAATTATTGAACAATATCATATCACATACAAGTAAAATTTTGCTGAAGATCATTCAAAAGCGGTTACAGCAGTACATTGACAGGGAACTACCAGAAATTCAAGTCAGATTCAGAAGAGGACGTGGAACAAGGAATATCATTGCTGATGTCAGATGGATCTTGGCTGAAAGCAGAGAATACCAGAAAGATGTTCATCTGTGTTTTATTGACTATGCAAAGGCATTCAACTGTGTGGATCATAACAAAGTATAGATAACATTGGAAAGAATGGGAATTCTAAAACACTTAACAGTGCTCATGTGGAACCTGTACATAGACCAAGAGGCTGTTGTTCAAGCAGAACAAGGAGCTACTGCATGGTTTAAAATCAAGAAAGATTGTATCGTTTCACCATACTTAACATTCAATCTGTATGCTGAACAAATAATCCGAGAAGTGGCATTAGGATTGGAGGAAGACTCATCAACAGCCTGTGATATGCAGGTGACACAACCTTGCTTGCTGAAAGGGAGGAGGACTTGAAGCACTTACTGATGAAGATCAAAGACTATAGCCTTCAGTATGGATTACACTTCAACATAAAACAAAAATCCTCACAAGTGGACCAATAAGCAACATCATTATAAATGGAGAAAATATTGAAGTTGTAAAGGATTTCACAGTAAGCAGCAGTCACGAAATCAGAGGATGTATTGCATTGGTCAAATCTGTTGCAAAAGATCTCTTTAAAGTATTAAAAAGCAAAGGTGTCACCTTGAGAACTGAGGTGCACCTGACCCAAGCCATGGTATTTTCATTTGCGTCATATAAATGTGAAAGCTGGAGAATGGATAAGGAAGACAGAAGAAGAATTGATGCATTTGAGTTGATGAAGAATATTGAATATACCATGGATTGCCAGAGGAACGAACAAATCTGTCCTGGAAGAAGTGCAGCCAGACTGCTCGTTAGAAGCGAGGATGGCGAGACTTCATCTAACGTACTTTGGGCATGTTATCAGGGGAGACCAGTCCCTGGAGAAGGCATCATGCTTGGTAAAGTAGAGGGCCAGTGACAAAGAGGAAGACCCTCAACAAGATGGATTAACATAGTTGTGGGGATATATGCCATTTAAACATGGCTGCACTATTGACAACTGCAGCCCCCACAGGCCTCTATGCTGTATACGACATGTTGGAGACTTGTCAGCGATGAGAAAGAGATTAGGCACGACTTGTTTTCCCAAACCTATTGTCCTGTTACTGATTGGCTTGTTTACTTGAATTCCTTCTCCCTTGCTGGAAACTTATTGTTACTCACCCAAAACCCATTGTTCTGTTATTTGCTTCACTGTTTGCTGTATTGACTATGTAATAAACTCCTGGGACTGAAGCCGGGGGTTCAACTCCTCAGAGTGATCCTCCTGGCCCCACTTCTCTGTAGGAGTTGTGGCATTGGTTATCGTCTCTGCTGCCCCGACATCCGTCGCCACTGCGACACATAGTGG